CTTTTAAAATTCTTGACGTTTCCAAGCAATTTAATTTTTAAATTTGCTCACAAACTCACACACACATTTTCATTTTCAATCTCAAGCAACAACAATTTCGAACAATTTCAATTTTTTATTTTCACTTTTATATGATTTTAATATGTTGGCAACTTCAAAAAAAAATCATGGCCGACAAATTGAGAGAACGGTTCTACCTTGGTATGTTTTTATCATGCTTGATTCCACCTCACCATTCTGCAGGCAACAGCCGCACTAAATTACATTTGGAAGTTAGCCGAATTTTTGTACTGAAAATCTCTATACAGAATCAATGAGAATAGACATGGTGAAATTATATCAGGTGTAATAATAAAACCGATGTTTCGCTTTATTTTCTTAGTTCTCTTTACATTCGGCTATCTTGTAGAAATTTTTTCAAGCAAATTTTCAAATAATACCATGTTCTGACCGACAACGAAAAACTTTGAAAACGAGTTTTGGGATTGTGGGCTGAAGGCTGTTCACACCGGCTGTTTTGCTAAGCAACAAAAACAAAACCAAAATGCTTATCCCTCATTTTCTCTGCATTAGCGACCTCTTACTTTCATTCTTATTTTACTTTGGCCAGCCAATTAACAATAAATCCGAAATGGCGTATTAAAGATGATAAAATATGACTTCCACTTCGACAAATAATAAAGTTTCGCAACTGTAAGTGATTACACCAGATATAGAGAAAATATTTATTTCTAAAACGTCAGATCGAAGAACTTGGAGAAAAGTAATTCGCATTTTCGAAAACATAGTTTTGTATCGCACTGCGCTAAGAGATCCTTTTTATGGCCAAATTCCATCCCTGATGTAAGACTGTAAAAGAAGACCAAAACAAACAGCTGTTTGGTATTTGCTCAATAAATATACTCCAAAGTCAAAGTTAAACATACCCAGCAGGGTCGCATGAAATATTCTTTCAATTAGCACTCAATTAAACACTAATGGAGCAATTATGAATTGAAATTTTGTATAATAAATCGAGCTCAAAAGCTTGGTTAATTGCCCGATTACAAGCCTGTCTGGACATACTTTTAAGGATTAATTTGATGTGAGACGCAGCTACTGAGTAACTGAAGTAACCTAGGGTAGCATGAAAAAAGTCGTCAAATTTCTAAATACTTAACATTTAAACGTAAGTTTACGCTGTAGTAGGAAAGTAGCAAAACAATGGGTATAGGCTGTTTCTAAATAAAGAATTTTCTTTTCGGTTATGTCATTGCAAACTCATACAGCTCATAATTCGTATTCTCTCGAATACTTCAAGAGCCGCCTCATCGGACATTGTCATTGTCCATGTTTCTGCGCCATATACGCGCACGAGCATGATGAGTGACACTTATCGCGTGTGGTTTTTCTACGTCCAGAGAGGACATTATTTCCGAATTTCCTACTCAGTCTAAAGTAGACAAGTAGGCAAGAGTGATTCTGCGTTAGATTTCGATGCTGATATTATTATCGGTGTTAATTCTGGTTCCCAAGTAAACGAAATTCTCTACTTTCTCGAAATTATAACTGTCAATTGTGACGTGAGTGCCAAGGCGTGAATGCGCTGACTATTTGTTTGATGACAGGAAATACTTCGCCTTGTCTTCGTTTACCACCAGATGCATTCTCTTTGCATTCTTATACAATTTGGAAAAAGCAGAAGAGACTTCTCGGTTCTTCCGCACACAGAAAGCAATAAGAGCTTTCACACAAGCCGGTAGCCAGTACCAAACATTTTGCGCCGGAAAACCGGTTGTCAGGTAGACGATCCGGATAAGCGAAACCGTGGTCGGTCCGGATTTCAAGATAAATACTTAATAACAATTGTTAATTTTTCAACTCTGTGCGGATTGCAGAAGGATGCGGACTATATGCGGGTTAACGAAGTTTCATAATCATATGTCATAATTCGTCAGCTGCCTCGACAAGAAAGAAGAAACTGAAGTTTTTTTTTGGATAAGTTTTCAAGGACCAATTATATCCTTATGTCATGTTCGGTCCACAAGATTTAACAGTGCAAGGATAAGTCATATTCTTAAATTTGTAAGTTGACTCTTCGTACCTTAAGACAGGTTAGCTTAGGTTGTTGTGGCACAGCCTGCTTCTGAGTCCCCCACTTAGACATCAGTTAGATTGTCCATTGGGTTACCACATTACACAAGTTCTTTGAACGGCGACTAATATATTCTGTGTTCGAAGCTAAGAGAAGCGCTGGGTGCTCACAACAAAGTTCCGCTGGCAGCTGATGTCCAGCTTTTCAGGAGCTTTTTCGTACCTTAAGACAGTTGAATCAAGAAAATTTTCAAATGTAGTATATGATTTCTTTATTTAATTTGAATTATTAGAATACTTAGAAATTAATTAATTTTAGTTAATTATGCAATTCAACAAAATCTTGGCTTATCTAGTTTACAAATTTTTTTTAAATTTCATTATTTTTCTAAAGTTTATTTCTTTATTTACATTCGCTTGCAACTCTGGCGTTTAGGAATTTTTTGTTGTTTTTACATTTCATTAGTAAGATTTATTTATCACAGATTACAATTTTTTCGCTTAGTAAATATTGCATTTTATATATTTGTATGTACGTATGTTTATATGTATGTGCATATGTGCTACATACATATATTAAATTAAGAAATCCTATAGCATACATATTTACTCGTTTGTTATGTTACTTCTTTTTATACTATGTATGTAAGTATGTACGCGATTTTTTTTTTTGGTTTTCCGAATTCGAATAATTGTAGTGATTTTAGTTGCAAATAATTTGCTGAATTAATTTGCTAATAATGAAAGTGTAATATATATGTATATGTATTTTTATATTTATGTATGTATGTAAGTATGTACACATAATGATAATGTTTATTATAATTATATTACTTGTTATTTGTTAATAGTTGTTGTTGTTGTTGCCCAATGTTTATATTATTACACAAGTTACACAAACAACAAATTAATGGTTTGATGTCTTAATTAATAATTTCGTTTTTGTTGTAGACTTGTTAAGGTGTGTAGCTAAATTTGTATGTGTATGTGTGTGCGCATGTATGTTCATTAGGATGGTCCAAAAATTTATGTGAAAAAGTTAAGACGGAATCTTTGTGCTTTGTGCTCTCACCCCCTAGGATTGTTCTATATCGAAAAAATATACCTTTATTTTTTAATTTGGAATTAAAAAAATATTTAGAAGTCACTCAAAGCGCTCAAAGTTTTTCATGTATTTTATATAGGAAAAAACTATTTTTCGTAGAAATGCTATGGAAATCTCGAAAATCAATATTTTTCGATCGGAAAACTCGGTTCCTCTTCAGCGGATTCCCGTTAATAATGCCTAGTTGCTCATTTAACGACTTTTTCATTATAACTGTATTTTAAAGGTCCGCCAAAAACCCCAGAAAATGCAATGGGGGACCAATAAAACACCGTTAGCATTAAAAAACGGTTAAATAAGAACCCGGGTATCGTTATTGAAGAGAACCAGAGTTTTCCGATCAAAAAAAAATTGATTTTCAAAAAAGCTATACCATATAAAATACATGGAAAACTCTAAAAAAAAATTTATTCAAAAAACACAAATATATTTTTCTCGATATAGAACAATCCTAGGGGGTGGGAGCAATAAATTTCCGACACTACATTTTTTTTTTGACCACCCTAATGCACATATGTATGTGTGTACTCTACGCGGCGTGTTATGTTTGACATTGCAATTATAGATGCGAAAACAAATTTTAACTATGCGCGCATCAACTTACGTACGTACGTTCGGTAGGTACAAAGTTGTTGTTGCGCGCATAAATGGGCAAGTAAGTGAATTTGCTATTTGCTACGTGTTAGTTGGTGCTTTAGTGAGCACTTATTATAATTATTTTTTAATAAAATTTTTATTACTGTTATTTTTTGCTGGTTCGCGTAATTTATGCGCCATAATGATTTGCTTTGCTGTTACTTATCGCTGCGAATGGTGAAGGTAATGGTGTGTAATTCAAACGTGGTGCCTATAAATCTGCTGCTATTATCGCTTGTTAATTATTTTTTTTCATACACATATGCGTACGTACGTATGTATCTATGTTTGTATTGCAAATATAAAAAGTAGTGCATTCGAGCTTCTGCACTACACACACACACACACACACACACAAGGCGCACACGCGTTGTGCGCATGCGCGCGTTTATTTTTAGCTCTTTTTAATTACAAAATATTTTTATTATGTGTTTTTAATCTTAATTTATAATTTTTACAAGCAGTTTTATCAAGCTTTAATTGCTATTTTTACAACACCTTCGCTGTTGCTGATAGAGTTGCAGTTGGTTGTTGTTGCTGTTGTCGCTGTCGCTGTCGCTGTCGCTGCTAGCGTGTAAAGTCATTAAACCTTCTGCATGACTAATGGCATATGCGTATGCGCTTTAACTCGCACGCTTATTATTATAAGCGCACTACTAATTGTACGAGAAAAAACAACAACAAATAGTCAGCAATTTTCCACAATCACCCTCTTCGCACTCGCAAAGAGTTTGTGTCTTGAGTCTTCAGTTTTGCGTATTTTAAATTTTTTTTATTTCGATTTCATTGCGCGCGTGTTGTATAACACAGACGACGCGCGCGCGTTCGCGCTCACGACCTTTTTGCGCGCTTGCTAAATGCAATAAAAACTTTTTATTGCCGCTTACTCGAATTACACTTTTATTGCCAAATAATTAGCGCGCTTAACTTGCGCGCGTCGGCAGCCACTTGGGCCGCTTGCGGTTAAGCGGCATAAATTTTTTACATCAAACTTTAATTGAAAACTAGCGCAGCTTGCTTCCGCTGTCAGTTGGCTCGCCGTCAGCTATGAACTTTTAATGTTTATTGCGCTTGCTGCCTACTTTTGCGTTGCACATGTCCCGTTGCGCGCGCGCTTTGATTAAAAACGTTGTAATAGTCATTAAGCCGCAACGCTAATCGATCAAATTTCCCACTCTGCCTCTACTCAACCCTCAGCGCGCGCTGCCGCCAATGCATAGTTAACACCAATACCTACTCCATTGCCACCGTATGCCGCATGGTTTCCACCGTGAGCATTGCTACTGCCGACGCCACTGCTGTAGCACATGCCCGGCGCGCTGCTCGTTGGCGTCCCCATCAATGCGCCGCGCGCAAGCTGGTTCAGCACAATGCCGCCATTGCTGTTCGCCAATTTCATGTTGGGCGGCGTCTGCGGCGGTGTATCCGGCTGTATCTCTGCGAAGCCCAAACGTTGTTGCTGCTGTTGTTGCTGTTGCAGCTGATGATACTGGTGCGCTGTCAAAAGTGGCGGACCCTGCGTCATCGAGGGTGGCGTGGAGGCGCTGCCATTACTGCTGCCACTGCCAGTACTGCCGTTGTGGTTGCTGTTGTTGCTGCCAGTGCTGCTGATACTGAGATTGAGGAAACTGCCGTTGCTGTTGTTGTGGCTGCTGCTGGAACTGAGACTGTTGCTGCCAGCCGATGCCGATGCCGCTGCCGCTGCCGCGTACGCCGTAGGTATGCGCGAATAGGGCAATGCGCCGACGTAGCCGCTCATCATATTCAGCGATGTCGAATTGTTGTTGCTGCTGCTGCTGCTGTTGTGCGCTGGCTGCATGTTGCTGCTGTTGCTGTGGCTGTGGCTGTTGAGTATATTGTGTGGATTGAGTTGACTGATTTGTTGCAAATGCGGCGGCATCTGCTGGTAATACTGTTGCCGACTTTGCAGCAGCGCTTGCTGTTGCTGCTGTTGTTGTTGTTGTTGTTGCTGCTGATATGTGCTCATTTGCATTGACGACGCCGGCGGCGGCAGTGTGGGTGGTGGTGCTGGCAGTAGCGGCGGTGGTGTCTTGCAGCCGACTGTGTCTGCCAAACTCCAGATCTTGGGTTTGCTCGCCGGGAGCGGTATACCACAGTCCGCCGCACGCAGCAGGTTTTTTGATGCATTGTACTCATCGGCTGCGCTCATGTGGCTGGGTGGGCCGTACGCCATGCTAGCCACGTGCTGTTGCTGTTGCTGCTGCTGCTGCTGCTGGTGTTGCTGGTAGTAGGCTGAGGTGTGTTGCTGCTGGTAGGGATGGTAGCTGGGATGCTGGCCGTAGGGCGAGCTGTACACGCCGCCGCCCATGCTGCGTATCGAGGGTATATCGCCGTACTTTGGTTCATCTAAGGAGCAGCCATCTGCTTTGTCTTCTTTGGCCAGCATTTCAGATTTGACAATAGGATCATCTGCAAGAAAGAGCGAGAGAGAGAAGCACAAAATAAATGAGATTCAAATTTATTTATTTTCGATTTGTTTGCAAATTGAAAACGGAAATCTTGTGCGATTGCCAGCTTTCCACCACAAAATGTATCTAAATTACTTAGAGCTTTACAGCTTCATCAAAGCCGAATGTTTAAGTAGCCCAGTTATTTGTTCAACGTTTTGCTATCCCTGCCTTCAGCCTACATTTTCGTAGGCGTTGAAGCGTGCAACGCCCTTTCGTGGCCAGATTTCAACTACAAAATATTTGCGCTTCCGCCGCTTTCTACCCACTTCTCTGATTTGGCAAGCATTTTTTTTTTCTTCAGTCGTGTCTTGAAGTTAACTTAATTTGGGAAAGTCAAAAACTTCATCAAGGCCACTTAAAGGCGTTGTTGCACAGCCCACTCCACGACCACCCTTCCGTCAACGACAGCCAGATGCCAGCAACTTCCGCTTGGCGACTAGTCAAATAGCAGATAGTCTACATATCTACAACAAATGCCAGTACCGTATATAAAACACAGCAACAACAAGTGTACTGGTAACAAAAATATTAAAGCTTTTTATAGTAGATAATATGTAACAGCTGCCGTTTTATGGGCAGCAAGGCCACACAAAAGGGGACGTGAAACGTCGCGCCACATAAATATCACTTAAAGTGAACGCGCCGCCAAAAAAAAAAGCCAACCCCAGTGGTGGTAATGGTCGATTTTCCAAACGTTTTGTTGCGTTTTGAATAGAACGAGCGGTGATTTGGCAAGTGCGCCTTTACATATGTACATATGTATGAGTGTAGCCCACAGTGCGTCAGGGGTGGTTCGAAAAACAGTCACAAAGTTTATTGCGAAAGTTAAATTTGTGCTCTCAAAGGCTTTTTTTTTGATTTTGCGGTATTATTTCACTTTCGATAGTTCACTTTAAAAAACGGCGCTCTAAGCAACGCCTTTCATAGAAAGTTCTAAAAAATTTTTATTGGCAAAAATTCTTCGAATAAACCCCCTACCGTGTAGTCGTATCGCTAAGACCTTAAAAGAATTTTGGTATCCATTATAGGGTTTCAAAAGGATTAGATTTTTATTAGCTCTGGCACGCGGAGATATTTATTGATTGTTTTTTCGGCTCAAAACGTGTTATTTCAAACCTTTACACACTTCGTCTATGATTTCTCTAATCTCTTAATATCCTTCTACAATTCGCATCTTCGAGACCCTTAAATTAGGTTTTTGTTTGAAGGGTCATTTCATTAGGTTTCGAGACTGCTACCATAATCTAGGAATCTGGAGAATGGAACAGCTATTCAAAGCGGTGTTAATTGTTTTTATATTTTAAGGATAATCTGTGTGTATTCTATAACCATATTTGGGCCTCGTTCGGCGGCAACTAACCAGGAAAACGGGGAAGAGCCCCTATGGCCTGATTCCGTCTAGCGCCTAGCTATATTTCCGTAACTGAGATTTTCCCCGCAGTGCCAAAACCGGTTCTGCCATGGAAATCCCTTCTACAGATCATCTACGCCGGCGCTTAATAGATTTTCTTCACAAAGTTCTCATCCACTAGAATCTGGACAAGCTCTAGCATACCAAATATAATCACAGATAATCACTTCTGGCGCTGAACCGATACTCTCAACAACGGTTAACTCTCGTCGTGCCGAACTGGCACTACACTCAATATCTTGACTGAGGAGCTAGGTAGATTTTTTTAGTACGTGTACGATAGCAGTGCCTGGACAGTATCTGTCAAGCTAATTCTTTTGCAAAGTTCGGCACACTCGCATAGCAGTTGCCGGTTGGGTTCTGGCTATTCTTCATATCTGCAACGCCTGCAGAAGTACCTTCCAGTGGCAACATGGTCTTTTAGCAGACCGTGGCTGTGGCTACGATTCTTGTATTCGCTAACACTCAAAATAGATAATTTTCTTGAAGAAATTGTGACAGAGTTCTTCTACTAGCTGAATATTTTTTGAATCACTCTCCAATTTAATGAAACAAAAGGGCAACAACCCTCATGAGAGCACCGTGGGGAGTTCGTAGGCCACTTTGAGCTGCTTAAACACTTAGCGGAAGAAGGCAAACTCAACGGCCAGTGACCATGAAAGACGTCAAAGTGCAAAGGCAACGGGTGAGCGGTTTGCCAAAAGTGCGTGTCTGAGGCTGACGTAAGGCGGTAAGGCACTTAAGTAAAACAAAGTAGAATGGCATATACAAGATGTTTATGAAGAGCAATCGGATTGCTTAAGTTTGCATGGCCGTTTTTGATTTCTACAAAAAAGAAATCCTTGTTACAGCGGCAAACAGTTTTCTATGTTCCTAATTTTTGTTGAGAAAAATTTTTATTAATTGTTTCTATTGGATAGTAGCACACATTTTTTAACCCTTACGCATCAAGTGCTCGGGTGAAAACGGTTTAGGGTTTTTGCTAACTTTTGCCCTTGATTAGTGCTCAGAGATCCAAATCCTAGCAATTGAAACACATTTCTTCTTATCACTTTACGACTTTCCCAGTGTCAATGTGCGCCCCAATTTTAATTATTTCATAAACATCCTCTCATCACTTACCTTTTCGCATTTCAACGCCCATCGTTGCACTTCCACCACCACCACCGCCACCGTAGACTCCACCAACACCAATACCGTCACCAACTCCACCACTGCCATTCAGTTTCTCAACCTCGTCGGCATCCTTCTCCTTCTCATCGTCCGACAACATTGCATCATCATCATCGTCTGTTTTATTCTTTGGTTCCCAGGTCATTTTATTTTCCTTCTTCAGCCGTCGGCGTGCGTTCGCGAACCACGTAGAGACCTGCGTCAGCGTCATTTTCGTAATGATGGCCAGCATAATCTTCTCACCTTTGGTGGGGTAGGGATTCTTCTTGTGCTCGCTCAGCCAGGCTTTGAGGGTGGCCGTGGACTCGCGTGTGGCATTCTTGCGGCGTGCTGCCAAGTCGTAGCTGGAGCCGTAACTGCAATGAAAATAAAAGAATTTGGAATTTAATTACTTTTAAAATATTAATTGACAAATACAAAACAGCAAACCCACCCACTTGTTATCGCGTTCGCAGCGGTTTCTATCAAACAGCGGCAAACTTGGACAACACTTATTCGGCCCATATTTTAAAGAACCGTTGCACACACATAGTATCTGTGTTTGTTTGTATGTTCGCTTAGTTTACTCAAGTCGAGTGGCGGCAATTATGTGGCGGCTGCACCTCAAAGCTCACATTTGCCATCGCATATGCAATTTGTAAATATTGCCAAAGCGTCAACCATACAATCACGCAAAAAAAAAACAATACCAACTGACAAACCGCCAACAACAAGCCACGTCAACGTCAACAACTAAGCGTAATCAACCTTCCGATACAAAAAGCGCGCCGCCGCTGCTATTACTCCCATTAGAAATTAAGAAGAAAAGCAAAAACTAAAATCAACTAAATAATTGTCAGTTGGAATGTTGATTGAGGCAGCAGCAAAGCTGTAGTTGCCGTCATCGCTATCGCCATCGCCACACTGCCACCGACGCGTTGCCGCTAATGAACTCTTTTCGTGTAAGTAGAGTTTTTTTTTAATATATTTAGTTGAGTAATTTTCTGTTATCTGCGAAGGAGACACCTTTATACATTAATTGCTTTGACTTGAATGGGGCTATGGAATGGAGTTTTAGTTTAGCTAGCCAAATCAGTATTGATTATTAAAAGTTGTTGGCGCTATTATCTAAGCGCTTTGATGCCATATCTGTGTAAGTTAAGTGCTTTCAATCGATAAATTTTCATATTTGCGAAAAATAATATTCGGTTGAAAAATTAATTACTTTGTTCCCATTAGTGGAATTCTAATGCACGAGCAGGCAGCATTTGTGTGGTTACTCGTAGGTGCTAAATATTTAGATTGAATTTATGACATCATAGTTTGTCCACAGAACATTTATCGAAAATATCGCAAAATGTTATGGAAACAATTTACATATATCTCCCAAAACTTTTCAGTGGCAAATTTCCTCACCAAGCTCAGCAGTATCAATGAGTAGTGAACATCTGATAGCGCACATTTTCGGAACTTGGTCCCATCGTTTGCAAGAAAATATACGAGGTTGCCCAAAATAAATGACTTCATTTGAAGATGGAATAATTATTGCAGATGGCATCGAATGTCAGGCATTTGTAATGGAAATATATGTAGATAGAATTCGTGGGCCGCTCAATACCCACTGTACGAATGTTCCGATTTTTAGCCACTCCACGTGAAGAGACTGGATCAAGAATAAATTCATTGCACACTGTGGTTCAAGATCTGGCGAAAGACCCAACATCATCACCCAAATGGCATGCGATATAATTGATCATTTCTCTGTAGCGCCTTTTGAATGCAAATTTGAAGATGGACGCTTTGAAAGAGAAAACAGTCCAAGAGCTATCGCCAGTTGACCGAGAAACGCGTCCTGATTCTTAAAAAAAGCACTTAAATTTAGTTTTATTTTTTTCGAAATCATTAGGTGTGTCCAAGAATATTTCAGTATTCAAGGAAACGTGAAAAAATTATCATTTTTGGCGCACTGGGAATTCGCGTATCATCCATGAGGAATCATAAAATCCATTCAAAGTCGCTGTATGGCGTGTAGTTTACTCTATTGACGGCATGAGTCCATTCTATTTATTTGAATACCTCGTTTTTGCGAATTTACTGACCGGTAACTTAATCAGACTTCCTTCTGTGGCGTTTTCTGCAGTCTCGGGATTATGTAAATAAGTCCCGGACTCTGGAGGCACCCTTAAGGAGAAGGTACAGCAATAAATCCCAGAAGTCTTACAACAACCATCTAAAATGCCATAAAACGGGCCTAAATGGCAATTTATAATGGCGGTGGTCACTCAGGTGATATCATCCCTAAAACATAATCTAATAAAATGTGGTGGCTCACGGGTTGTCCCATGCTAATGTTTAGATCCGATAATTGGATCGTGAAGAAATTAACGATAATCTTCAATTTTTATATGAGAACTGAAGTCGGTTTTGTTTTTTGTTTAAAAATTACTTGTTTAAATAAGTTTTAGAATTAATCATATCTTTGAATCTATAAAGTTCTTTAAAAAAAATTAGTTAATTATTTGTAATACGAAGTAGACTCTAAACAAAAAATTTAAATATTGAATAAACAACGGAAATACAGATAAAAGTAATTATTTTACCTAAAATAGGAGAAAAAACTGTTAAAATGGCATAAATTTAACTTTAAGTTGGAATAATTGCGAAACCAGTAGGTTTATCAAAAAATTGTAGGAGACATTTTTTATAGAGCGAGAAAACAAATTCCAAAGATGAAAACAAGTTTTTTCTAAGTAATTTATATGGAAAACAAAAATCCACGACACGCCTCCTTTTAAACTTAATATTAAGGGTTGCACTTTTAGCAGGCATCTTTCGACATCCCCCCGGAAGTATTAAAGAGGGGACCATTAAAAAGAAAAGTTAGTCGATTTTTTGAATCAGTCCATGAATCAGTACAACACTGTTCCATTGTCAAAGTAATCTGCGACATCAATTTATGGATTTCTAAAACAAATCCTTTAAGTCTTTAAACCAACAAATTTATTTTAACACTAAACAGCTCAAAATGCGAAAAAAAACATTTCCCAATCACTTCAACTTTAGTTACTTTAGCGTGAAAATTCATAGCGAAAAACCTTGAGAGCGACAGCTGGCCATATAAAAGCTTCTCAACTACGGCTGAACGCGCATCGAATTTAAATCTTTCAATAATTTTAAGTGCCGCATTTGATAACAATGAATACAAAAAAAAAGAAAAAAATCTCAATAGAATAAAAGCAAAAAAAAAACATAGCAGTTAGAAGCAACAGCACGGAAAATGAAAGCATATTGGCCCAGCCAACCAAAGGAGGTGAAGGCGGCGGCGAAAGCTGTGGTGGGCGACAGGACATTGGCGCAACGATAGACAAACGCCGTTTTCCACTTGTTGAACTGCTGCCAGAGACAGTGAACGTGTACGCAAGGGATTTAGTTGGGTTTATAGCCAAAGTTGTTGCATCTTCCACGCTGCTGTGTTTCTGTTGTATTTTTTTTTTTTTTTTTTTTTTTTTTTTTTTCTATGCGACTCGCAACCGCAGACATAGTCATAGTGGACGAACCCGACGACTGCGGCTTGCGGGCAAAATTTAATGTATTTGTAGAAAATCTCTAGCGGCGAGTGGTGCTGAATTATCTCTTATTTTGATTGCTTCTACTAGTAGCACTGTTTCGGGAAATTTTCACGCTTTGGTGGCAAGTTTTTTTTTTTTTTTTGAGTTTTAAAGCGCCAACTAAGCGACAGTGAAATTTATTTAATTCAATTATTTTATTGTGGAAAATCCATTTTAATTGCTAAGCTTAAAAAGAAGCGAGAAGTGCATGTTGCGATTTGAAAAGTATTTAGTAATAAATCACTCGCAATGCGTATCGCACTCAAGTCAGCAAGCAGCTAGCTGACACACCAAAGCGGAGAGGTCATGAGAAGAAACTCGCTGGCTCACTGATAAGCCATGCTCATGCTCTCATATCAAGCAACATACAGAGTATTGTCAACACTTCATAACTCAACGCGTTTAGTTGCAAGAGTTCAAGATTTATTTCTGTCACTCTCTCCAAAATGTTGCAATAAATCAAATCTTAGGAAAAAAAATATTTTTGAGTACACTTACCCATAGGCGGCTATCGGATCATACGAATAGTAACCAGTGGTGGGCTGCAGGCTTGCCGAAGTCCAAGCGGACATATCAGATCCAGTGTTGCCCTCTTTTAATGCATAGGGATTGCTCTA